CCTCCGCCTACCCATGGGCTGCCCCTCTACAACCCTGCACCTATTCAGCCTGTAGCCTGAGGCTTTCCAGGCTGGAGCTCCCAGCTCCTCTGGCCCTTCCCCAGCCCTGCTCCAATCTAGGTGTCCTGCTCAGCACCTTACAGCCAGACCCTTCTCCCGCTACGCGCAGAGGAAGACTGACTGGGCTCCTGGCTTACGGCCTCTTTTAGGACATTAGGAAAAACTTTTTCACTAAGGTGGTGGTGAAACACTGGAATGCGTTACCTAGGGAGGTGGTGGAATCCCCTTCCTTGGGAGTTTTTAAGGTCAGGCTTGACAAAGCCCTGGCTGGGATGATTTAGTTGGGATGGGTCCTGCTCTGGTCAGGGGGTTGGACTAGATGGCCTCTAGAGGTCCCTTCCAACTCTGTTATTCTATGATTCTCTTATACGGGCCAGCTGGGCCTGATTGAGCTGGCCACAGCTGCGGCTGCTCCCTTAATCAGCCTGGGCTTTTCCCCACAGCCCCAGCCCTCTCCCAGGGCTGGCCTCAGCCCTGTCAGGGCCAGAGCAGGTAACCACCCCGCTACAGTTATGAATACAAAATTGGGCTAGCTCAGAGGTATAGCACATATGGTTTTGTTTTAGGATTAATGTGAATAATGGGGATAGGCAAACTTTACATTGAGATGGGGATAAGATACATAGTAGAGAGGAGGTGATGAGGTCTGGAAGAGGACTAGGAACATGGCTCAAAAAGAAAACTAGGGTAACAAACTGGTGAAATAGCAAACACTTACATGACAAATTCTGCTTGAAGAAATATGTCCGCTGTGAAGAATGGAAGGGAGTAAAGGCAGGTCTGCTGGGGAATGTGTGTGCATGTGTATGAAGGGATGGGGTAGTGGGTAACAGTTTTGTCCTGGTTGGAGACACGGGCCTATATTCACCCAGGGTACCAAGGCTTCCATTCCGCAGCAGCAGCAGCCGCCAAAAGAGGCTGACATGAATGCTGGAGTCCAAAATGGGAAGACCAAAATGTCCTACTGATGGACTAAAGGGAAAAGCAGGAAGAAATTAGATATATATTATATAGTTTTAAAAGAAAATCAAGCACAGGATTAAGGCCTGAGACATTCACTTGTAGGAAAAAAAGAGATAGTAGGTTGTGCACCCCATTTTCCTTCATGAGAATCTAATTCATTCATTAAGTATAGAGCTCCACCCTATAAGTCTCAAAATGTGCACCACAGACTTTTTAAATGCATGCTACAGATATGAAAGGAGACAAGCAACAACAACAAAATAACAGAGTAGGGAGTTTGGAAAGGTACGGGATTCTTCTGCTGAGCATCTATAAAGTTTTCTACAGCACTTCACTTTTAGGATTTTGCACTTCTGATATAAATAAGTTAGACAAATAAAAAGCAAGATAACACCAGCTTTCTTCAGAACAGAGGTAAAATTAGGTCTCAAATGTGTGATATCACACTTCATGAGACACAGGTAAGAGGTAGGACTAGAAGGCACTGCCATTTATCTGTTTGGGACCTGGATTTTTGCTTTGTAAAGTGGGGCATCAAATCCATCTGTTCCACTGTTTTCAAGCTCTCTGGGTTAAATCTTTGCCCCACTGAAGTCAATGGGAGTTTTACCAGTGACTTAAAAGGAAGTTGGGATTTCACCCTTTGTTCCTGTGTAGGTTGCAAGTTTTATTTTGTGACCAATCCTGCACATGAACTATTCCCTCCCCCCTCCCAACACACACACACTTTCTGATGAAGTCCAATCTATTATGTTGTAATCCATATAGGTTTCCATAAGCAAATTAGGAAATGTAGACTAGATGAAATTACTATAATGTAGTTAGACAACTGGTTGAAAGACCGCACTCAAAGAGTAGTTATCAATGAAACACTGTCACATTGGGAGGGTGTATTTAGTGGGATCCTGCCGGGGTCAGTCTTGGTCCAATGCTATTCAATATTTTCACTAATGATTTGGATAATGGAGCGAAGAGTATGCTTACAAAATCTGTGGATGACACCAAGTTGGGAGATGTTGCAATCATTTTGGAGGACAGGATTAGAATTCAAAATGACCTTGACAAATTGAAGAACTGGTCTGATATCAACAAGATGAAATTCAATCAATACAAATGCAAAGTACTTCACTTACAAAGGAAAAATCAAATGCACAACTACAACAACATAGGGAATAACTGGCTTGGTGGCAATGTGGAAGAAAAGGATATGGGGGTTATTGTAGATCACAAATTGAATACGAGTCAACAATGTGAAAGGCTAATATCATTCTGAGCTGGATTAACAGGCGTATTGTATGCAAGATCTGGGAGGTAACTGTCCTGCTCAACTCCGCATTGGTGAGGCCTCAGCTGGAGTACTGCATCCAATTCTGGGTGCCATACTTTAGGAAAGATGTGGACAAATGAGAGAGAGTCCAAAGGAGAGCAACAAAAAATAATAAAAAGTTTAGGAAACCTGACCTGTGAAGAAATGTTTAAAAGATTGGGCATGTTTCCTGTTGAGAAAAGAAGACTGAGAAGGGACCTGACAAGAGTCTTCAAATATGTTAAGGGCTGTTACAAAGAGGATGGTGATCAATTGTTCTCCATGTCCACTATTGGTAGGGCTTAATTTGCAGCAAGGGACATTTAGATTTGATAGTAGGAAAAACTTCCTAGCTATAAGGGTATTTAAGGTCCTGAATAATCTTTCAAGGGAGGTTCTAGAAACCGTATCATTAGAGATTTTTAAGAACAGTTGGACAAACACCTGTCAGTGAGGTCTAGGTTTACTTGGTCCTGCCTTAGTGCAAGAGGCTGGACTTGATGACCTCGCAAGGTCATCCAGCCCTACATGTCTATGATTTTAATGAATATTCTGTTGGAAGCCAGCATCATAACTGAAGAACAAATGTGCTCATGGTAGTCCATGCTGCGGAGGAGACATGCTGCACCATTCTGTACTAGTTCATAGAATCATAGAATATCAGGGTTGGAAGGGACCCCAGAAGGTCATCTAGTCCAACCCCCTGCTCGAAGCAGGACCAATTCCCAGTTAAATCATCCCAGCCAGGGCTTTGTCAAGCCTGACCTTAAAAACCTCTAAGGAAGGAGATTCTACCACCTCCCTAGGCAACGCATTCCAGTGTTTCACCACCCTCTTAGTGAAAAAGTTTTTTCCTAATATCCAATCTAAACCTTCCCCACTGCAACTTGAGACCATTACTCCTCGTTCTGTCATCTGCTACCATTGAGAACAGTCTAGAGCCATCCTCTTTGGAACCCCCTTTCAGGTAGTTGAAAGCAGCTATCAAATCCCCCCTCATTCTTCTCTTCTGCAGGCTAAACAATCCCAGCTCCCTCAGCCTCTCCTCATAAGTCATGTGTTCTAGACCCCTAATCATTTTTGTTGCCCTTCGCTGGGCTCTCTCCAATTTATCCACATCCTTCTTGAAGTGTGGGGCCCAAAACTGGACACAGTACTCCAGATGAGGCCTCACCAATGTCGAATAGAGGGCAACGATCACATCCCTCGATCTGCTCGCTATGCCCCTACTTATACATCCCCAAATGCCATTGGCCTTCTTGGCAACAAGGGCACACTGCTGACTCATATCTAGCTTCTCGTCCACTGTCACCCCTAGGTCCTTTTCTGCAGAGCTGCTGCCAAGCCATTCGGTCCCTAGTCTGTAGCGGTGCATTGGATTCTTCCATCCTAAGTGCAGGACCCTGCACTTATCCTTATTGAACCTCATCAGATTTCTTTTGGCCCAATCCTCCAATTTGTCTAGGTCCTTCTGTATCCTATCCCTCCCCTCCAGCGTATCTACCACTCCTCCCAGTTTAGTATCATCCGCAAATTTGCTGAGAGTGCAATCCACACCATCCTCCAGATCATTTATGAAGATATTGAACAAAACCGGCCCCAGGACCGACCCTTGGGGCACTCCACTTGATACCGGCTGCCAACTAGACATGGAGCCATTGATCACTACCCGTTGAGCCCGACAATCTAGCCAGCTTTCTACCCACCTTATAGTGCATTCATCCAGCCCATACTTCCTTAACTTGCTGACAAGAATACTGTGGGAGACCGTGTCAAAAGCTTTGCTAAAGTCAAGAAACAATACATCCACTGCTTTCCCTTCATCCACAGAACCAGTAATGTCATCATAAAAGGCGATTAGATTAGTCAGGCATGACCTTCCCTTGGTGAATCCATGCTGGCTGTTCCTGATCACTTTCCTCTCATGCAAGTGCTTCAGGATTGATTCTTTGAGGACCTGCTCCATGATTTTTCCAGGGACTGAGGTGAGGCTGACTGGCCTGTAGTTGGAGTTTCCTAAGGACTGAAGGCTTCATACTCAGGAATATCATTGCTGTAGCCAGACAGGAGGTGACAAAAAAGCATGTATAACTGAGGTCAGATCATCATCTACCAGTATGGGAAGGAGTCTTCTACCCAACTGGAGATGGTAGAAAATGTTACTCAGGGATGCAGCTGTGGGGAATCCAGGAGCACTTCTAAATTATGAACTGAACTGACCAATTGTGAGTGCATGTACTTTCAACCAAAGAAGACTGTGAACTCCTTTAAGTGCTTTCAGTCTCACCAGTATATCTTCCCACTTGCTCAGCTTCAGCTTCAGCTTCAACCAGGTGTTTTTCATCCATAAGTTAATGCTGCCCAAGCACTGGACCATCTAGCAGTGTGATCGTATGTGATATGACTAAATTCAGATAAGACTGATTGGTTTGGGGAAACAGCCAGATAATATGGTGAGGATGACATTCCACCCACCTTGTTCTGGATGAATGTCTACCATTTGTTAATTGAGTTTTCAGTCTAGAGGTACAGTTAAACCCCCAAAGGCTACTAAAGTATCGTATAGAAGCAGTGACCTGGAATACTATTTTCATCTGTGCCTGGGGAGATGACTCCATTTCTTTCTAGCATGGACCTTGATACCACTATTCATGTCTTTGTCGCCTTAAGGCTGATTACTGCAATGCTCACTACATGAGGCTACACCTTAAAACCATCCAGACACCGAATATGGTGAGGAATGTGGCAGCTCACATGGTAAGCAGTGCATCTATTCCATTCTATTTTATATAGGTTCTTCTACTGCACTTGTCATCTTAGTATCTAAGCACCTTCCAGTACTTAAGCAACATGACTGCACATCTGTCATGTGTTGTTTGTTCACTCATCCTCTTGTCTGGGGGAGCATTATGGAGTGTTTTATTTTGGAATTGTATATATATTCACACATACACGCACGTGTTTATGTTAGAGAAGGCAAGGTGAAACAAGTGGACCTTCACTTAGAAAGGAAGCTGGTGAGTTTTGTGTTGGTCCTTAGTTCCTAGGGGATTTGGGCAAGTCTCCAAGAAAGTTCTGTCTCCTGCACAGATGAGCTTTCCCCTTTATGCAGAGAATTCCATTGTGCCAGAGGAGTAAAGTTGTCAACCACAATCTTCATCCTGGAGCTTTAGGTGATCTTTTAGATATTGTGGGACCAGGCCACTGAGCAAGTGCCTTGAAGATAAGGACCAATACATGGAACTCGATTTGATCTGTACTGACCATCTGTTAACTGGAATATAAGGTGTTTTGACATATAAAACCCTAAATAGTTTAGGACCAGCCTGAAAGACTTCCTTTCTCCCCAGGCCATATTGCTGCAATTGCAGTCTGCAGAGGCACCCGAGTTGGAGTCCCCTTACCGTAAGAGAGAGGTGAGTACATTCTTTGTGAGGAACTTAGCTGTAGAGCAGGCTTCTGATCTTGGTCACAGATCTGGAATCTCAGCTGAACACACTGCAACGTCTGTCTTTTTGCCCAGACGCCTGAGGAAGGCAGGGCCTAACAGGGGTGACTGTATACAAGGTAAAGGCACACCTGTTATGTGAGGGGTGGAGTTTTGGAGTTTCTTGAAGTAGGAAGTCTGAAAGAAACACAAGCAACTTTTTTTCTAAATATGATGTTTTCCTCCGTTTCAGGAATAATGCTAGCTTCTCTCCCATTGGTGGCTTATAGTAAGCTACCGTTGGAATCAGCTGTTCAAGATGTAAAAAGGTGGACTGTTGGGTTTATAGTAGGCTGCTAACCATTGTGTAATAGAAAAGTGTGAAAGCAGTATTGATCTTAGTGGGTTTTTTTAATCATAGTTGTAGTCTATAAATGTTAGAATTTTGTTATAAAATAATTATCTGGTTTATGGTATATTTAGAACTTTGCAGTGTTACTGTCACTACTGTTATTTTTTACATTTACTAAAAGGTTGCACTTCAGAGAGCACAGGTAATGCCTTCCCCTGCGGGAGGGTGGGCAACGTAAGTGGATGGTATGAGATAACTTTCTCTGCAGCCACTCCATGATCTGAAAATAAAGTGAGGGATAATTCCTTTCCTAGCCTCCATGCATCTTCCCGCTGTCAAGACTGGTTATGTGAGCTGTTTGCTAGGCTCAGGATTTGGGTACTAGTGTAATACAAAATAAGGAGTTTGAAGAGATTTTCAAAAACCCAGAGAAAAGCTTTGTGCCTGCAATGGTATATGGATCAGTGCTCCTTTGCTCCTTAATATACATATCCCCTCTTATTGGTCTTCACTTGCACAATGCAAACAGCTTCTAGTGCTTTTTCCTGCTCATTGATTCCAACTAACAATGGCTGTTATCAACCAATAAAGTCAGTAGCAGGCAAAAACCTATTTTTACAGATGCCAGGACAAAAGTGTTAATTAACTTAAAAGAGTAACAATTATTTTTCTTCTGCTCTCCATTTAGCTTTTCATGGATATTAATTATAGTTTGTCAAAACTGTATCTCTGAAATTACCTACTCTTCTGAAAGAGTTTTAAAATGAATCCTTTGTCTCCTATATCCTATAACAGAGTAGTAAAGTGCTTTCTCTTTTCTCCCTTATATAATTTAAAAACATAGAATCAATGGGATGTATTTAGGAAGATTTAGCATCCTTTTTCATACCTTCTTATACTGTGAGATGTAATTTTATGTAGCTATGTCTCTCTAAGAATGCAATTTTTGTGATCTAAGGATTCATAAATGATTCATAGATGGGTAATGTGGTGGAGCGGAGGTGAGCTGGGGAGCGGTTCCTCTACCCCCCCCTCGTTACTTCCTGCGTTCCCCCACCCTCGCTAACCTCCGCTCCGCCTGCTCCCTGTCTCTCCCTCACCTGAGAGGGAGGGTGGAGAGCGGAGCGGCGGCATGTTCATGGGAGCAGACGGAGCAGAGGTGAGCTAGGGCAAGGGGTTGCGGAGGGAAGCCTTAGGAAGCAATGGCTGGGGGGAAATGCGGCACACTCGGGGGAGGAGGCGGGGCTGGGGATTTGGGGAAGGGGTTGAGAAGGGGCGGAGCCAGGGGCGGCTGGGCATGAAAAAAAAGCAGGCGCAGCCAAAATTTTTTTTGCTTGGGGTGGCAAAAATCCTTGAGCCGGCCCTGGTTGGAGAAGGGCCTTGGTGCTAGAGGGGGGTGCATGGAGCAGCACCGTTTGGGGGGCGCAGGTCTATGGAAGGGCTGCAGGGCCCCACATCCTGTCTCGGTAAAGGGGCCGCGCTGCGGCTGGTACCTGCGCTGTGCAGCCGCTCCGGGGCCCCGTGCGCAGAGGCCGATCCGATACTGCCTCGCTCAGCAGTTGCGGCCGAGCTCTATGCTGCTTCCTGCCTGGCCCAGGAAGTGCGACCAGCTGCGCTGGGCAGGGAGATCAGGCACCATGTGACTGGGTGCCACGTAGGGCCGGGGAGCCAGGCCCCTGGCAGCAGCAGCCTCCACTGCTCCAGGAGCCGGGCAGGGCCGGCTGGTGCCATGGCTGGGGGCTGCCTTGGCTGGGGGCGTGCTGGGGCGAGCCCCCCGCAGTCTCTCCCGCTCCTGTGCTGTGGGGTTGTCCAGTCTCCGCTGCTCGGGGGTGCTCATACCCCATGGCGAGAGTCAGGCAGACGGCAGCCTTTGCTTGCAGGGAGCCGCCGCCCCATATGCCGGGAGTGACCCCACTGATGCAAGGGCTGCAGGACTCCTACGCCACCAGCAAGCACCTGGGATGAAGAACGAGCCTAGGGAGGGCAGGGGGACAGGACAGAGCCTGTGGGGCAGGATGGAACCTGGGGGGCATGGGAGGGAGCAGGACAGAGGCACATCCCTTAAATCAGAACTTTTTATAGGGAACCCATTGTAAAGATTTTTGCAGCTCATCACTGACTAAGACCACCTACTTCACATGCTGCCATACAACTTACAACACAAAAACAGACTCATGGGGAAGATGTGAAAAATAGCTGCAGCTTCCAAGCAGGCATGATCTGGAGAAATGTGGGCAGAAATGGGGTAAAGTCAAAATTACTGTGTGTTCTGTCCTGGATAATCAATCAAAGTTACTACAGAAAATTGGCAGTAAGCTATTGCTACTTGAGCAGCAATAATTTGCTATCAACAAAAATCCTTCTCTTCAATGTGGCAAAACAAGTGTTTCCATGGATGAGTATAAGGGTAAACTGCAAATGGTGAGGGCATCTGGGCTTCATATCAGACTGTAAGATGTAGAAAAATTTCCACATGGCTTAGCCCCTGAGCCATGTTTGCAGTCGTACAGTTTACAACATTTCCCGACATAGAATCTCCATGTTTATTTTTACCTCTTCAACAGGTATTTGTCTTTGTTCACAGTCTGTTACTACTACAACTGGGTGGCAGGATATGGATCAATGTAGAAAGCTCAGTTGGGGGGTCTTAGAACTTTCTGCTCTTTTTCACTATAAAACAGATCATATGGCTCTAAGTCTGTTTGGTATGATATTAGATTCAGGGGTTGACAAACTGTGTACATGTACAATTAGTGGGGGGTGAGCTTGGGGGGTGAGCTTGGGGGGTGAGCTTGATGGTCCATCAGTTAACTTCATGATAATTTTGTGAGATGTTGGGATATGAATCAATTAAGTTTGAGAATCACTGCTGCAGATCAAAGCTGTCCAAACTGAGATACATGGAGCCCTTCCCACTGGACCACAGAGAACCAGACAGCCAGCTGATGCTGTTGGTTCTGCCCTCTTCTGTACAGCTTCAGCACACTATGGTGTACATTGATGAGGTTACTCCATTAAATGTTTTGCCTTTTCCTCTCCAACCAAGAAATACTACCAGAGGGAGATGAAGAAGCCATAAGGAGCCAGACCTGCAGCCAACACCACAGGAGCTGGACCAGCCACCAGTAGACCACAACTGCACTGAGATCTACACCCACAACTGCATTAGGATTTACTCCCACAACCACCACCACTGCCATCGAACCCACTGATGCTGGCCCAGGACCAGTTATCACCATGACAGCAGTCAGGGATAGGAGAAGGAGTACTGGCTGACTGTGATTAGATCTAGTAGAACTGAAGAAACAGGAGAGTGGAAGAAAACCCGATTGGATGGTAGGGGGACAGGAGAAAGAGCACCAAAGGGCAGGGAACCTGATTTGGAAGGAGGTGAGGAGAAGCAGCAGTGATGGGTTTAGAGGAGGGTAGAATTTTAAGAGGAGAAAGGGGTAGGTGAATGAGGGAGCAGAGGGAAGGAAATAGGAGGCTAGAGCAGGAAACTGTAGGCAGAATGAGATCAGGGGCATGTCTGAAAGAGCAATAGCTGGAACAGAACAGAGTTTTGAGGGGGTGTTTATGGAGCAGATCATGGTCAGAGGAGTACTAATTTTGATTACCCCACTGATTTGCAAAAAATGGATTATGGGGTGAACTGACTGTGATAGTGTGTAGAATTGAATTAGTGGGAGGAAATTGATTGTGACTTGGGGAAGCTGATTAGGTATAGTGGAGAAATGAGAACTTAAGCTGAATAAGAAACTGAATCTATACAGGAAGTTTCAGTTTGATTTGTCCATGGTAGTGAAGGAAATTATGTGGATGGTTGAGAAGTACTGAAGAATTGACTTTGAATGGGATGAGGAGGAGAGTTGCTTTTGGCCATGTAGGCAGCCAGTCCAAGCCCAGTGGTGGTGAGTCTCGGTCTAGTGTTGATAGAGATGGCAGCCCACACTAAAAAGTAAGCTTCAGAGGCCCCAGTGTAATTCTTCTATATACTATTGTACCTTGTCACATGAGTTTTGCCTCTTTTTAAAAAAAAAAAAAAAACCTTTTGGGGAACAGGAAGAAAGGAGGTCATCTAGTTTCTTGTGGCGGTCTGGGGGATCATTTTAACTTTGTAAATCTTTACTAAAAGGAGTTTAAAACTTTTAAAATCATCTAAAAGTCAAACACGTCACATTCCCCAGTGATTTCAGCCCTAGGAAATAGAGGAAAAGCAAACACAGGGCTTTTAACATGGGTATTATGCATGCAGTACATATGTAATAAGTTAAGCAGAATTTATGTATCCAATTAAAAGCACAGTGAATGTGTGCTTGCATGCCTAGCTAGCCTCACTCATAGGCCTACCTATCCCTTTTTATGCTCCAGTAGTAGGCAGGCAATACAGATGTGTCTCTGAAAATTTAGCTTATAGAACTTAGAAGGAACAATAGAGAAACATGCAATGGGTTACGAAGCAATAACCTTTTCATTTCAGACCTGTACAATATATTATGTTGGGGGGAGAATACATTTCCTGTACTGCATCATATGCCCTCAGTTGACCCATGGATCTGCCAAAGTCTATGAAAGTCCCACCACAGGGATGAAATTCTGGCCCCACTGAAGTCCATGGGAACACTGACATATATACAGGAGGAGAGACTAAATGATCTAATGGTTCCTTCTGGAGCTAAATTCTATGAATTTATGAACCTTTAACATATAATCAGAGTTATTTAAATATTAAGAAAGACATGGGCATTCTCGATTGAAGATTTATGGAATATGAGCAAATTTTACTTATCTTTTATATAATATTGTCTAGTTTTCAGTGATCTGCCAGATTTTACTGGAAAAGAGAGACAACAGGCAGAAATGAACAGTAGCATCTTTGCTACAGGAAATAAACTAACTGGATTTTCACATTCTTTAGATTGCAAAGTTAATCAGGTGGTTGTTCAATTGGAGGGCTCCTTTTCACAACAAGGCGATATACAACAGGGTTTCCATCTGTTCAGAGAGGAGCAGAGCAGTTTTAATTTGGGTCAAAGCTGCTGTATTTAGCTTGAACATGGGAACAAGTGGAAATGCATTGCCACTACAGCAAAACATATTTATTCTACTGTGTAGTAGAAAATAGGAACACTGTGCATGGATTTAAGAAACTGAAGTTTAAAATATTAACAAAATATAAACAAAAACAAGGAAGCGGCTCTTAAAAACCAAACCACTTGGAAGTTTCAATAGCTGCCCTAGGAAGGGTACTTGCACAGTGCTGTGGTTGTTATACTGCTATCAAAGACCAGGGGAGTCATTATTTCCACACGTCTAGAGTGCTGTACCTCAAAATCACTCAAAAAGCTGGTTCATTTACATAGCAGTTCCATGAGGTGTCACAACCCAAGTGCAGTAGGTTAGCATGACTCTGCTCTTTAGGATAGGGTGACTAGACTACCACATTTCAAAGGGACAATGCCAACGTCCTGGGCATTTCCACTGAAACTGGGATTTCCATATGGTTTAAGTAGAACTGGCTGAGGCAGACATTCAGCTTCACCTTCTCTGGCTTCTTCTGTAGTGCTGCGGTTCCTCAGCTGGCTCCCGCCTAACTTTCATGCCATCAGCTAGCCAGCCTCTCTCCCACTTCACACTTTTTATTCTGCCATGCTATGATGTTTCAGATTGTGCCATGAAATCTGCCATGGTACCACAGGAGAGAGAGGAGGCAGAAGCAGAAGAAGTCAAAAAGAGGCAGACTAATGGGTAATATATTAAGTCAGGATAGAGGTAGCTACTGTACTTGACTTCACCAGGAAGAGAACTGGAAAGGAACCAGGAACCTACTAGGGCAGTGGTCACCAACCAGTCTGGCAGTGCAGCGGGGTGGCCGCTAAGGCAGGCTCCTTGCCTGCCCTGGCCCCACATCGCTCCCGGAAGCGGCCAGCATGGCCCCACAGGTGGGGGGGCAGGGGCCTCCCTCTGCATGATGCTCCTGCCTGCAAGCACCGCCCCTGCAGCTCTGATGGGCTGGGAATGGGGAGCTGCGGCCAATGGGAGCTGCGGGGACGGTGCTTGCACAGAGGGGTAGCGCACCTCCCCACCTCTTCCGGGAGCAGCGTGAGGCCAGGGCAGGCAGGAAGCCTGCCTTAGCCTCACTGCACTGCTGACCGGGAACCACCCAAGATAAGTGCTGCCTGGTGGGAAGCCGCACCCCAACCCCAGCCCTGAACCCCCTCCCAGAGCCAGCATCCCACAGCCGCTCTTGCACCCCAACCCCCCACCCCCAGCCCTGACCCCCCTCCCAGAGCCAGCATCCCACACCACCTCCTGTACCCCAACACTCTGCCTCAGCCCAGAGCCCCCTCCTGCACCCAAACTCCCTCCTGGAGCCCACAACCCTCCCCCTGTCCCAGGCTCAGCCCGGAGCCCCCTCCCATACTGCAAACCCCTCAGCCATAGCCCAGAGCCTGCACCCCCCTCCCAAACCCCAACCTCCTACCCCAGCCCAGTGAAAGTGAGTGAGGGTGGAAAATGGAGTGAGTGGGGCAGGGCGGGGCAGATCCTGGGCTGCCCTTAAATTCAAAAAGTGATCTTGGGCATAAAAAGGTTGGAGACTACTGTACTAGGAAAACTGAGGCTGGAATGGTAACATGCCATCAGCTCTAACATGTTCCCCCAGTTACATGTCCCCTCTCAGAGGGTGACTGGCCCTTTTAAGAAGGAATGGATCCAGCTCACCTTAGATTCATTAACAGCCTCTCACTGGGGCCTGATGAAGTAACTGGTCTCTATAAAGAGCCAGTTGGTAGAGAAACAGAGGAGAAACAGGAAGTGGTAGCAGAGAGCTGCAAAAAGGAAGATGAAGTCGCAGTTCAGGGCAACTTCATGTGTTTTCCCCCTCAGTGGTCCAGCAAGGACACCCACATGTAGGCTTCCAGGTCTCCAGTAGTTACTTCTCTTGGGTGGAGACACGCGTTTCTCTCACTCCTGAGTGGGTTTTTTCCAGGCTGCACAGTCTCTGCCTACAATGGGAATTCCCCAGCAAAGTCAGACTGCCTCAGCAGGCCAACTCTGATTTTTCAGTTCAGAAGCTATAACCAGCATAGTTGCTCAAAGTTAAGTTACTACATGTCTCTTTCTAAGCAAGCACAGTTATTCTTAAGGTAAAAGACTTACAGAAAAACACATATTAAAAACAATAAAAGAATATATACATATGCCAATACATTTTCCAGAAATTAACCACCCCCAATCTCAACACAGTCTCTGGTTGGTGTCAGTCCTTCCAACCTTCCCTAAGGATTGGGGCCCTCCCATTGTTTAAATTTTTCATGTGGTGGTATCCCTTTGGAGGTGTTACAACCTGAGTGAATTTTTCCTAATCACCCACACTGTTCTTAGTTCCTGGAGGAATGTGGTTCCCCACTCTGTGGAATTACATACATTCCCAGGCTCAGAATGATACATAAACTGAACACAGTAAGATTTAGCTCAGTTCAGTAAGATTTGTCCAGGATATTGCAGGAAATTGCTGTATCTGTCACATCTTCCCCCTAAAGAAGTGGGTATAACTAGGGTGCTTGATTGGCACCCTAGGAAAACCCATTGACATATTTCCTTGACAGAGCATCAGCAACCAAATCTGCATTCCCTTTAACATGAATTTCTTCCATACCATAACCGTGGAGCACCAAGCTCCCCCCTTAGTACCTTGGCATTTGCCCCTTTCATTTGATGTAGCCAGGTGAGTGGTCAGTGTACACAGTGAAAGTCACTCCAAAAAGGTAGAGCTGAAATTTGCTGGGCATACACCATGACCAATCATTCTTTTTCTATTGGCACATAACTTCTCTCCTGAGGCAAGCAATTTCTTGTTCGGTACATGATGGAGTTTCTCTCCTCCTTTTCATCACTTTGCATCAGCACAGCCCCAAGCCCTGTGTCAGAGGCATCAACGAACACCCTAAAAGTCTTGTCAATGTTGGAGCTTACCAGAACCGGTCTGTGCTCAGGACTTTCTTCAGTTCACAGAAGGCCGACTTACACTGTTTGGACCAGAGGACCTTCCCTGGCTTACCCTTTTTAGATTGCTCCCATCACTGATCTATCAGAGTACTAAAGTGAGGGACAAACCTCCAGTAATATCCTGCCACCCCAATGAAGGATCGTACCTGTTTTCTAGTCTAGAGAGTAGGCCAATTCTTAACAGCCTCCATTATGGCAGGCTTCAGCTTTATGCAGCCCCTCCCCAATCTGTGGCTGAGACCATAGGCACCAACTTCCCCTCTACCCAGTGGGTGCTCAACCTCCCCACCCCAGCCCACAGCCCCACCTCTTCCCACCCCTGCACTGCCCTCACCCCATCCCACGCCTTGCCTCAAGTCCCCGCACTAATGGGAAGAGGAGGCAAGGAGGGGGTGGGGGCGTGGGGAGCTTGGCTGCCGGAGGGTGTGGAGCACCTGCTAATTTTTCCCCGTGGGTGCTCCAGCCCCAGAGCACCTACGGAGTTGGTGTCTATGGCTGGGCCAAAGTAGGTTGTCTATCCACATCTTGTATTTCTCCACCTCTACAGTCAGGCCCGTTGTCTGAATGCTCTGAAGCCCCTTCCTGATGTGAGTCACATACTCTCTCCAAGGCTGACTGAAAACACAAATATCACCGACATATGCCAGGGCAAACTCCCCCAGCCCATTCAGCAACCAATTTACCAGCCTCAGGAAAGTAGCAACCTTGAGGCCAAAAGGTAGAACCAAGAACTCAAAAAGCCCCATTGGGGTTAAATGCCAATTTGAGTCTGGCACCGAGTCCAAAGGTAACCCGCCAATAACCTTTAGTGAGTTAAGTTGTGGTCAAGAAGTAGGACCCTCCTAACTTGTCAGTATCTTATCCATTGTAGACATGGGGTACACAGACACTGATAGTTCTAGGCTTTCTATAATTGACAGTCTAATTTACCCATCCTTCTTAGGTACCAATACAATCAGAGATGCACATGGACTATTGGATCATCCCTAATTCCAGAATGTCAGTGATTTTTTTCCCCCTCCAGGCTCTGGTCTGCC